CTTTCACAATAATAGAGGTGGGTACAATTTGATTTGAATTAAATTATATATATATATCCATAATGTATTTTAATCTTCCATTACAATATAAGTAAGAAAAAATGCCTTGTAATAAAGCCAATGTATTTAACATTAGTCCCATCACCTAACTGGGATCAATTAGCAATCTTTATAGATAATGTCACTAAAAGGTATCACCCTAAGTAGTCTTCTTTACGTTTATTTTTAAATTATTTTCAAATTTAAGCCTATAATTAATTATGTTACCTTCCTCCTTATAGTGAAAACCTATTAACCAATGACTGTATAATTTCAAAGTTAAATTTTTTCAAGAGTCACACATACTACTGCAATTATTTAACCATAAAGATTAATCCTAAACTTTACATCTTCATAAAGTTCTTAAAGAAAAATGAAGGTCATCATTAAAACTTAACTGAAAATATAACAATTTTAAAACTGAATCTCATCCTCTAGAGAGATAGTGATCTGTCATAAAAATTTACTTCCCCTTAAATAGAACTTCTTTATTCTTTGAGAATCAATATCTGATTTGAATATGCAATTGAAAATGCAGTTTAACACTATATACAGTATTTTAACCTCATTGATTTCTTTCTCCCTAGAAAAGAGGTAGTCACCTTCAAGATTATTGCAGCAGTTAAAGATAATGGACAGAAAATTCTACATTCATACTTTATATTACATTAGGTATATTAAGTGATAGTTATTAATATGCATCTAAATAAATATACAGCATTTAATAATTAAACAAAATTTCTATTTTATTAAAAATGTGAGGCTATCCACCTCACTTTCAGAGGAAAAAGGACAAGAATTTGAGTTAAATAGTCTTATAAGAATATATATGAATGAAGCTATACAGTATGAAGCGTTATTATTATTAAAATAACCTTGCCATGAGAGATTTGTCTTTTAAAAAGAGCCTAGACACTGATTCTGATGGAAACTTCTTTAAATTGGAACAGAACCATTAAAGAAGAAACATCTAGCAATCTTTGTAATATAGTATCAATCATCACACCTTAAAAGTACATATATGCCAAAATGAAAAATCTTTAAATTTCCTATACTAAGGAGTCTTCTTTCTCTCAATTATCTTGTTGCATATATTCTGAGTAACAACTTTTTGTTTGCACTGCTGATCTTGAAAAAGGTAACAAATTTCTAAAGACCTCCAAATTATAAGAAAGGGGAGGAAAAGTAATTGGATACGTAAGACATAAGCCATGGACAGAAAGGAAAAGTGTCGTATGTTAAGGGTGATCACTGAAAGGAATGAGCATGCTCTAGAGAAAAACTCCTGCAAGAGAGTGCAGTAATTCCAGCTTCCTGGTGCATCCTGGCTCTAGGAAGATGTAGATATAATTTATAAGACAAACAATCTACCATTTCAACCACTCGTTACTACATATGAAGGCTTAGCATTCACAGAAAGATTGCCTACAATAACAAGCTGCATTCTGCAGAAACAAGAAACACAAGATTTATATTCTTAAACTCTATAAATTCTGATTCACTAGATATAGTTCCATGATAGCTACATAAATAAAGGATGGAAGCATTACGATGCTCAGTAATAAGGGACAAACAAAAATGGATAGGAATCTTTGAGAAAAGATCTAAATGGAAGTTCTCAAATGAATATTATATTTTAGCACATTATTTTTACTTCATGTTAATGATGCAGTAGGTTATCTGATACATATAGATAGTGTCATCTCACATACTTAAACTTTTTGGGGG